CTACATAAAAGATAATGAGGACAGAAATGTTCCCATACTTTGGATTTCACGAAGGAGCTGAGTCCACTATCCCTCCTTAATAAAGCCTACCTAACCACCCTGTTTTTCATTCAGCAACTGCAACCCCTCCCAATCTCCCTTCCTCTCACTGTTCTCCCCTCCTGTGGCTCTTTAACTAACGTTTTCTAACATCATTAATTGTGATGTTTATTTTTATTCTTGCTTCTACTCCTGACACACACCAAAACATGGGCCCCACAGGGCAGGGATTTTCCTTTTGCTTTCCGATGCATCCTCGATACCCACAATAGCATGTAGCCAACGGTAGTGCACGGTTTCCAATTACCGAGTGAGTACACATAACAGGTAAGGGCGACAAGCATTACCACTGTGCTAGTTTAGAGATTACTACTTCAGATCAGACTGCAAACGTTCCTGAGTAACAGTCAAAGCATCCCACATGTCAGATTATGTAGCTCACTTAAAGACCCTACCTGCCTGAGTGCGTTCCTATGGCCACCACTGTGCCACTGGGATGGAAATCTGCACAGTGTCCTGGTTCCTAGAAAAGAGACAGACAGCTGTTGGGGAGTACACGAGAAAGTCTCCCTAGTTCTATGGGGGTAGTGGCAAAAACATATTGGAAAATAGCTTGTTTCACCTCAGTGGAATTCCGGTCCCCTTTACCACGGCCAGTGAGAAACAGCACATGGATATGAGAGGAAGAATTTCGAGCATGAAGGGCACACAGTGAAGAGTGGGGAGGGGAGAAGACAACCAGCTCATGGCTCAGTGGGTGGAATAAAAATAAAGATAACAACAAACATCTATATAGTTCTTTAGAATCTGCAAAGAACTTGTATGTACCTTTTGGGCCAGAAAAGGAGGATGGACCTAGATGCGGTAAGAAGATCCAGTAAGAGACCACTCAGGGAGACAGAGTCTCTTGGTGAGCAGCACTTAGCTGATCAAGTGCACCACCAGAGGCCCAGTGTTTCTGTAATAATGCTCCGTAGATATGTGGGATCTTTATGATTTTTACTACAAAAACGGAGAGAAAAATTGAGCTTTTACCTCGCTAACTTGCTTCTTTCAAGAGGGTTCGTGTTCGACTTTGAAACTCAACAGCCCCCACCCCGTGCCCCTCTGCTAAGGCGCACGCAGGCACTGGGCCTGCACCACTGCTCCACCCTTTCTCCTGCGGCTCCTGCCTACTGGTGGGAGGGCTTTTCTGGGGGAGTATTCGTTGCATCTGGATTTACTCACATCTACGAGCCTGGTCCACTCCAGCCTGTGTTCTGCGGAGTTCCACATGCACACCTGCCTGTCCTGAGCACATGTCAAGAGCAAATCCTTAAAGGGATGTGTGGCAAGACCCCAAAGTTCATCTGTATGACCCTGAAAACGAAGGACACCCATTCTTACAAAACCAAAAGGAGTCTTCAAAAACATTCAGTTAATAGTTAATGTCATACATCTTACCTGTACTTCTATTTGGAAGCCATCATTAAATGTCCCCCGTAAAATGAAGTTTCGTGATGTGCCTACTAAAAATTGATCTGCCTTTCCTTCTGCTACAGCTCTGATGGTGCCATACTGATCGGGAACCTAGGGAAAATAAACCTGTGAGGTCACACGTTCACGTCAATGTCCCCTGGCGGTACAGCTGTATGCAATCACGGGGCAACCAACGACAGAATTCCCAACCTGAAGACATTCTGGTCATCTCACGTGTATGTTCAATTACACTGTATTACACAGAAGTTAAAAATGCACTGTTACCAGCAAGCATTCTTTGCTTCTGTTCATTAAATTTGTATTTTATATAATTTCAAGAATTAGGG